TCCACTCACCTCAGCCTCTCAAAGGCGCAGGATTACAGGCTGAGCCACCGAGCCTGGCTGGCTCCTTTATTTTTTATAGAAACAGGGTCTTGTTATCTTGTCCAGGCTGGCCTCAAGTGATCTTCCTGCCTGAAGTCTCCCAACGTGCTAGGATTACAGGCATGAGCCACTGTGTCCCTCAGACAAAACGGGATAGTAGGGGGAGTAGAAGGAGTGCACAGCACACACATAACAACAATAAGGGTGCCTGATCCTAATCCAGGATAAGTGAGGGCCAAATTGAGGCCCAAAATTTTACCTGTACCTAAACCACTTATGTGCGTAATCCTGACTTGTACCCCACAACTTTAAAATTAAATTTTAAAAAAACCCTCTTGGTTATACTAGCATTCTCATAGAGTCTCATAGGGCAGTGCCACCAGATTGGTCAGTGGAGCCTATCTGAGCATAGCCATGCTTTAAATGTCTACAATTTAAACTTTTATCAATCACATTTTTTATAGCAGTTATCTTTATTGGGGAGACATGAACAGCCCAAGAGGTGGCAAAAAGTCAAGAGGTGATAGTAAATGGGGTTTCAATTTTTAACCCTTTGCACTCAGATATCCCCTCTCTGAGAACATAAAGAGATTGCTGGAGATTTTATTTTTCAAAAAGGTATGCTTCCTTGAAGTTTTCTATTCAAACACAATGAAAAACCTATGTCTCATCTGAAATTTGTCAAGCTTTTGATCAACTAGTTGAGAAGCAGTTTTCAGGAATCACAGGTGCGAAATTCCATGTCGTCTTTGAACAACAGTCTGGACAATAAATTACATATTATTAATGTGAGAAGAAGAAAAGACGACTGAGTCTGCTTGAATAGAAAAACACCAGGTGGAAGATGACAAATTATTATTGCACAACATGTATCAATGAACCTGCAATACATTGTCACATTAGATATAAAATTTTGGTTTTTTGTCATAAGTTCCTTAATGTCACAAATTCCATTGTAAGCCAAATATCATTATAATAAAATAACTGGTTCTAACACTATACTACTTAATTAAGTGACTCATTCTCACTACTTTGTAAGAAAGTGCAATAAAGTTGCAGGTTGGTGGTCTGCAGGAGGTCTCTGAGTGCAAAGGGTTAAGTGAAGAGAAAACCACTTTCAAGATTTCTGCAGACTCTTTTTGTCATGTAAAGAGAAACAAAGTACAGAAAGTTAAGTGCTTAGGCCCTAGAACCAGACTGTATGGGTACCCAGCCTTCTCTTTACTGGCTATGACAAGGGCAAATTACTTAACCTTTCTCCATGCCTTCACTTGTAAAATATGAAAGCCTGTATCTATCATCCTTACAAGCAGAATAGTACCTGGTACACAACTTTTATAAAGAATGCAACAAATGAAAAGTATGGAGCTTTTTAAAGTACAGTTAATTTTAAAAATAAGTGACCAGGAAATTTCTAAAGAGGTGGATGAAGGGAAGAGATGAATATTGCCTTCCTCAGTGTGAGGTAGCTTAGGAAGAATATATTCAAGGCGGATCTAGGTTTGGATTTAGTACTATGGCTTACTGTTTAATCCTAAACAAGTAATGTAGCATTTACGCCTCAAACTCCTCATTACGTAACTGAGCAATACTACCTACCACATAATATTGTTTTGGAATCAGAATATATGTGAGAGAGCACTAACAATGTTACTTGTGGTACAACTATATAGTTTTTGAACAAAATGTGAAAAAATACATCTCCACTGTTGCATCATTAAAGGTCCAACCTAAGAAAGTCCACAGAGCTTTTTACTATCCTTGCTTACTATCATTAATGTCAAGACATGGGAGTTTTTTTCACTGAGGAATTGAGTTCTGTGATTTTTTCTTTTCTTTTTTTTGAGTTGGAGTCTCACTCTGTCGCCCAGACTGGAGTGCAGTGGCCGTTCCCAGCCATCGCAGCCTC